CCCCCCCCCCCCCCCCCCCCCTCTCCCCCCCCTTCCTCCCTTCCTCGCCCTTCTCCTGTCGCCTTTTTGACTTTCCCATCGCGGCAGGCCGCCCCTGCCGGCCCGCCGCGCCGAGGGAGTGTTGCCAGCACCTCCCCCCACCCCCTCAGGCTTCGCGTGCCGCGTCGTCTCGGAGGAGGGAGTGCCGCACCAGCTCACCATCAGGAACATATGTAGCCGAGACATGGCCGAGACACAGCCGGATGGGAGGACGGACTGCCGCACCCACCACCACCAGGGCCGCCGCCGCCGCATCCGCCCGCCCCCCCTGCCAGAGTCCGACTCCCGAGTCGGACCCGCGGCGCCGCGTGCCACGCAGGCCGCTCTTCGGCCCCATCGCCCCCGCCGCCTGCAAGGTTCGCCTCCCGCGCTCCCGCTCGCAGCTGGTGCTGCGCCTCGGCAAGGCTGAGGGAGGGGGCGAGGGCGCGTGGCCGACGCTGCGCGCCGCGGCGCGGGGGTAGGCGAGGACACACTCAGTGCATGCGCATGTAAGGCTCGTGCGCTGAGGCATCATTATCCTTCGTGGCAGCGCTGACGGTGCGAGCTCGGTGCAACAGCAACGAGCTTACTCTAGCGCGCGATATCCACGGCCCACGCGCAGAGTCGCAGACAAAATAAATGCAGAGATTTGTGCCTTTGTGCCCCCGACAAAATACATCGTCCGGGCCCATAGCCATACAATGTTACAAAGGCGCGCAAAAAACCAAAACGCGTCTAGAGAGCTGAGAAAAGTACTTTTGAAAAGACAACGAGCAACAACCACAAAACATCCACATCGCACTTCGCACATGCCACATCGTGGAAGGACGTTTTCGGCGGTGCGGAGCGCGTGGGGGTGTACAAGGTCTCTGCTCGCGCGTCACCTCGAGTCCCTTCCCACTGCTTTATCCAACCCTTCGCCCTCTGATGTCCATTGTCCAGTGCAGCACATGTCTCTTGGTGTGTGTGCTGTGGGCCCTCCTTGTCTCTGCAACCTGTCTGCAACAGACCGTGTGAGGTAACACCTACCTACCTACCTACCTACCTACCTACCCATAGGGAGACGTCCTCTAGGGTGACCGGCGGGCTGCCTGGACGGAGCTCGGAGCGCCTTGCCACCTTCAATGCCGTATACCCGTACGCGAGCGGCGTGGGCGGCATGTTGGGCGTGAACTCGACGCGCACCGACTTGTTGGTCGCCTCGGTGAGCAGCCTGAAGAAGACGTCGGTCACAAAGGTGCCGTGCAGGTCGACCCGCAGGGAGCATACGGACGGTGTGGCGGACTACAGCACAGGTTTTGGGGCGTCGGCGCTTGTAGTTGTACGGTCAGATCTCGTTCGTCGTTGCGCGCCGCTGTTTGAGTGTTGTTCTTGAGTTGCCGCCGCGCGCGGTGCCGGTGGGCCGCGGTGGGCCTTGTGTATTTCTTTCGAGCTGACGACAACCGATGCGAGGCGATTACAAATGCCAAGCGTACGCATGTCGCGGCGAAGCGGCGAGAGGCTTCCGGCGGTCAGGCGCCGCGGCGGACAAATATGGATGATGATGCGCCGCATCGCTGGGCTATCCTCACGCCACCTTCTCCAGCGTGCACGTGAAACGCTGCGGCGCTGTCAGCGTCATGCTGCGGGTGTGTGCGTGACCGTCGACGAGCACTGTGCCTGCCATCGTTTTGCCAGACATCAATCCGGCGACTTGGTATGAAGCGGTCTTGGCGCTGATGTCGATGCTAGTCAGCGTGTACTGGTATGAATCTCCGTTGCTGTTATTCCGTGTCATCGAGCTGAAGTCCGGTGAGATTTGCAGTGTGGACGTGATACTGGGCACAGGGCAGCACCCGCATAAAATCGGCTTGATCGTTCCGCTTTCCATCAGCGAGCCTCTCTCGTGCCGTTCTTCAATGTGGACGGAAACCGGGCCGATCTTGACACTGCCCTGCCACACGCCTGGCTCGTCCATGATAGCCTTGAGATTGTCGTCGCACGGCACGACTGCAGCGGTGGGCACGGGCGTGGCCAGCACGACCGGCAGCTCCTCCATTGCGACCGGCAGCTCCATTGAGTGAGGCGCCGACGGTTTTCTTTTCCGAAATCGATTTTTTAAACTTGGAGTCTCGGTGGGCAGCCGACCGTATTGAAAAGATCTCGGAGGTATTTTCAGAATTGCCATCAGGGTGGGACAAATTCAAACGCCCCGAGTTGCGTGCAGTGACAGGCGCCGTCTTCACAAGCATTCAAGAGCAGCTACTGGCCGGAGCGTCGGGCCTTGACGTAACTTTGCTGCACAAAGCACTCGTTGACTTGAGCGATAAAGAGGGCGATGACGGATCTCCCCCCATCCGCAGTCCTGCTTTTCAGAAGGCCACCCAAGCTGCAAGGGTGGCCCTTGCAGCTGCAGCCCCAACGCCTGCAGAGCCAGAGGGGTTCACAGCCAGCGCCGTCTTTGGGTCAAGCCATCACCTGGAGCGGGTGGTGTTGCAGGCAGCTGTACTACCTTGGCTACAACGTGAAGCCTGGCGGCTGATTTATGATCTTTTCTGCCTTGGATGCTTGCTGCTTCTCTTGGTGGCTGGGCGTGCAAGCCTCGTGAACAACAAGGGTGGAGTCATGGCGGTGCGCGCCTGCGCCTTGATTAGCTGTGCCCTCCTGCAGGCTTGGACCTCCTCGCTACTGACTTGGCACTCCCTCACCAACCATGTATCCCTCTCACTCTTGGAGCTGGCGGCGGTGCATGCCGCAAGCCGTCTGTCTGGGCTACAGTTGCACTTAGTCCAGGCGGCCTGGCAAGCTGTGCTGTTGCACTCTTCGCAGCACTCGGAGCTGCTCGGCATTGATTCCCTCATCATGAAATGTGGGATCTGTGGAAGCCAGATCATGGTCCTTATCCTAGCCCGCGACACTACTCACTGGGCGGTGCGGGTGCTTAGCAGCAGCAGTGTTCCTGCCCTACTGTCTGAATACGTTTTCCACGTATTCCAAATGACCTCCCAGAGGCCTGTATTCCACCCGTATTCCACCCGTATTCCACGTATTCCATGGAATACGCCGTATTCCAAGCTCCAAAAATGGACGTATTCCGTATAAAATTTTCTTCGCTCCGCGAATTCAGACAGTAGGGTTCCTGCCCACCTGCCCATAAATTGGCTTGAAGGGGCTTGAATTTAGCGTCGGTGCGGTACGACGTCTGCACGCGGCCGGCCGGGCGAGAGGCTTGACACGATCCGACCCTGCGACCCTGACGCTGCTGCTCTAGCTATCAGCCATGCACTGCTGACTGCTGCCACAATGTGCGACCTGTGCTGGCCCACTTGGCGGCCTTCCCGGTC